CAGACGAAGACGAAGACCCAGACAGCCTATACACAGCCAGCCCTCGCGCTCAACGCTTGCGTTCGAGCCAGACAGCTCGCACTCAAACCCAAACCGACTCTCAGATGTCAATGGCATCCTCAAAGCCAGCCTCGCAACTCATCGAGTCCCAGACAGACTCGCAGTCCACTTCCACAGACGTCCCGATCACCCCTGCCCGCATGACAGTGTTCCGGCAGACTTTGGGCCCGCTTATGGGCAAGACTGTGTTTAGAGACAGCGATACAAGCAAGATTGATGAGTTGATTAATGCTGTAAATACCGCCATCCGGGAATCGCCTCAGCTTGGCGCTTCGCACGTCTTCTCCCGCCCTGAGGCTATCCAGGCCTTGCGAGTCATGAATGACGACAATATCCTGATGTATCTCGAGGATGATGAAGATGTGTACCGGGTCTAATTTACCTGGGTTATGTGGCACTGTCTATACTTCTCTTCTCCATCTGGTAATAGCCAGGGGGAGAATGCTGGATCTGTCTGCGTCCAGTTTTACGAGCATGCTTTCTTGCCTTTGCATTGGGATTGATATCAGCATGTTTTGTTTTATTTTGTGTTTGGCGTATGGGATGGGTTTGTGAGGAAATACTACTGGGTGGGCTCAATACGAGAAATATGAATGAATACTCGATCCTTGACTTAAATCAAGACCTGAATGGTAGTACTAGGCTCTTAGTCCACCTGCAATTGTAATTTAATGCCACGCTATGTGATTTATTAGCAGACACTTGTTTATTTGACACTATAAGATGCATTGGAATGGGAGTTTTCCAAAGGAACCAGATACAACGCGACAGCATACATAGGCGAGGTACTCGAGCATGTCTATAGAAGTAACGACATCGCGCTCTAAAGGATATGCAGCATACACAGCTAATGCAAGTTCCCAAAGACAACGCTTTGAGCAACAATGTCTGGAAAACACGAGAGACAAAAAACAGGGTATAGAGATATAAATGGCGGAAGCATGAATAATATTCCGTGCTAAGGTGCGGTGCAGTATTACAATTCCGGAACAGAATTCGGTATAGCCTCCTCTTTATCTTTCTCAAGCATACCCATAGGCAACACAGAGTCGTCAGACGAGAAGGACGGGGTACGTATACCCTCTCTGATCTGCGCCTGCGTGAGAGGTGACAAGCCCCGCCGAAGCGTCGAGCCCTTCCGTTTTTGCTGCTGCGGGCTCGCATCCTGCCCGGAGGCGGTGCTCCCGCGGCGGGGCCTACTGGAAGGGGAAGAGCGGGAGGGGGGACGGTCTTCGAAGCTCGTGTCGACGGGGGTAGTGCTGCGGGATGACGTGCGGGAATGAGACTCGGAGCGGGTATTGCGACGGGAGGGACCCCGCTGCTCTTGGCCGAGTTTCGTGATGGGATGATGGCCGTGGCCTGGGCGGTGTTTTGATTCTTGCTCGAGTGAGCGGTGCAGGGTCCCTGCGACGAGGCGGCGACGTTGGGAGGCGCGCCAGCCAAGCCCGAGCCGGCCGAGCCAGCCTCCTTCTGTTTGGGCGAGGTGGCGCTCGCGCTCGCGCAGTTTGAGGCGTAGCTGGGCGCGGCGCTCGTTTTCCTTTTCCCAGAAGTCAGTGCGGTAATCGTCCCAGTTTTCGCGGAATTCTGGGGAGAACGACTTGGGCAGGAGGAGGAGACGAATGTAGTCGCCTCCCGGGCTGAGGTCTTCTTCTACCATGCCGGACTCGCTGTCGGTGCCGTTGTAGTACTGTTGATAGTGCTGCCGACCACCACCAGCGCGCTTATCGGAGGGGCTCTGCTCAACGAAATGGTAGTTTCCATTGGGGGAGGGTAAGAACGGGGCGGAGAATGGGAACAGGAATGAGATGTAAGACAGTAGCTCTTGCCAGAAGGGGCCGCGAATGATAATTATCTTGGTGTTCATCACGCGCAGGCCACGATTGGAGACAGCGAGCCAGCGCCGAGGCCATCTGATCCCTCGTTCCCACTGCCCTGTACCCCAGATGAGCAGTGCGGTAACCACCCCGCCAAGCAGGGCGACTTTCTCCCCCATCTCTACCACCCAGTAGACAGAGCCGCCTACCCCGCGGCCATCTTCTCGCGGGCGAAGGAAAAGGGCATATGCAAAATGGGCAAGCCAAGCGGCTAGTAGAAGTAGGAAGAACGTGTTCTGGCGGCGACGCTCGCGCAGGGCCAGATATTGGGCTCGTAGCGAGGTTTCAAGTATTAAGAGGTTTAGGTAGATCTGGGGCGGGGAGGATGGCAGGTGTGCCAGCGGGTCTGGGGTCGACGGACGTGGAGGGGAGGAATCTGAACGGTGAGCTTGAGACGACCTTGAGGAGTTCAACGGCTCTGGAGTTGATGGGGCGCTCGCGCCGGGTGTTGGGGCACCCTTGACCACCTGGTCTAAGGGTGAGGCCATAGTAGAAGAGTCCCAAGATGATAGTAGAATATGAAAGCAAAGCTCGTTGGTTAAAGTCAAATCAAAACTTGGCCGATCCGGCCCAGGGCGAGTGTCATTAGTGTCATTGCATGTGAAGAGGAGAGAGAAAGGCGGGAGGGTGAAAGCCAAGTTGGATCGACATCATCTGCCCAGTTAGTTGACTTCACTTTTATACCTACACAAATATTGCCCATTGCCATTAACTTAAGGGGTTTCCACCATATTTGTCTTTTCATCGACTCTCTTCCTTCGGATATTACCTCTTTTGCCCGGAGTTTCGCATGTCAGACCTACCGGGGTTAAGCGGAGTGACCGAATTGTCTCCGCGTTCCCTGCTTATACGTCCATGAGCGCCACCGTTCAACTTTTGCTAGCAGAAACTATCTGTCTTCCCAATTTGCGAATCGCAGGCACAACTTCGCGACTTGCTTCTCTCTTTTCAGCCACTCAACACCAGGCCAAACCTTGCTCAGCCGTCTTCGCCACCCTCCCACGGGGGCACAGACTGTCTTCAATGGCGTCAGAATCACTCAACTCGTCCCATGAGAACGTCCATGGGCGCGATCAACACTTAGGTGAAAGCAATATCGAGAGAACTCCGGGAACGCCATATGCGGCTCAGGCTGCTGCTGGCGCGGCAGCGGCGCGTGCATTTTTCCCGTTGGGATATCGAGAAGGCTTTAGTCAATGGGTAAGCTAACAATTCAAAAGCCTTCCATTACCGCATGTCTGCTGATGATTTGATTTACATAGTGGGCTCGTATACCTGCAGCTACTGCCGAACACAAAGTCCTCTCTTATCTGCCTTACTTGCACCACCAGCCCCCCACCCACCTCCAGACTGGAAAAACGGCAGAGCTTCCGGATGGCACTATCCCGACCAGTCTCGAGAGCGCAGACCCTAATCAACTGGATGAAGTCACCACTAACTCCCTTGATGACCCTTATGGCCCTCGCCGCTGGCGCTCTAGCATGGTAGAACTGAGCGGGAAAGACCGTGCGCTCAATGAGTTCTCGGTGGAGAGGGTTGGCGAGGAAGCAGACCAACATTTGGTCATGCTCCACGGCTATGGCGCCGGACTCGGTTTCTTCTATAAAAACTTCGAACCACTGAGTCGGTTGAAGGGCTGGCAACTCCACGCCTTGGACATGCTAGGCATGGGCCGGAGTACTCGACCCTCATTCAAAATCAAGGCAAAGGAAAGAGAAGACGCTATCAGGGAGGCTGAGGCTTGGTTTGTAGATGCCTTGGAGGAATGGCGCATCAAACGAAAGATCGATCGCTTTACCTTGCTTGGACACAGTCTCGGCGGGTACATGGCGGTTGCCTACGCGCTGAAATACCCCGGGCATCTAAACAAGCTTATCCTGGCATCTCCAGTTGGCATCCCAGAGGACCCATACGCTGTCACTGCAGATGTGGCCGAGCCTCGGGCATCGACATTGTCCAACGAGCTTACTCAAGACGAGCGAGATATAACTTCGTCCATTTCGGAAACAGCACCGAAGACAACCGACGGTAGCTTTATCACTGGGCGCCAACCACTCCCGGCTGATTCCGCACCACCTCCAGCTCCACGACGGAATCTCCCTAAGTGGTTCGCGTATTTATGGGATGCCAATATCTCGCCCTTCAGTCTGGTGCGGTGGGCTGGTCCTCTAGGCCCACGTCTCGTGTCCGGATGGACCTCTCGTCGTTTCTCCCACCTACCAGCCGAGGAAGCTAAGGCACTCCACGACTACTCGTACTCGATCTTCAGTCTTCGTGGTAGCGGCGAGTATGCGCTAGCATACATTCTTGCCCCCGGTGCTTTCGCTCGTAGTCCTCTGATCCACCGTGTTCACGGCCTCGGGAGACAACTGATCCAAAACACAAGCCCCCTTGCTCATCCAGCCGCCGCCGCCACCACTTCGTCAGCGCCCTCTGAGAATACGACCGCCTCTACCGCCACTCCTTCGTCCGACTCTTCGGCACCTGCTCGGCGCGAGAAGGGTCTCCCTGTGGTGTTCATGTATGGCGACCACGACTGGATGGATGTCTCAGGTGGTCGTGCAGCAGCAGCTATATTGGAAAAAGAAAAGCGGAAAGCCCTAGAAAATGCCACCCCAGAGGAGAAGCGTACCGACGAAGGTTCCTCTAAGGTGGTCGTTGTGAATAAAGCTGGCCACCATTTGTATCTCGATGGCTGGGAGGAGTTCAATGATATTGTGCTCACCGAGATGGAAGAGGTCAACCAGAGGGAGAGAAGTCGTCAGTAATGACGTGGATAAGGCTTCTTTCCCTTTGTCGTGAACAACGACCTATTAAATTTAGAGCTGGAGTGTGATGTTAACCTTCGTCCCTCGTTTATTGTGGTATTTAATCTCTCTTTTGCCCCTCGTGTTATGTGCCTATCTCCCTCTTTTCCGTGGCTATAATTCTGTACGGTGCATATTGACTAGATAGACTTGGACAGAATAAATGACACTTGCCATGAATGCTCCAGTCGGAGAAACAGCTTTCATGCATTTTTCATTTGTGCTCTTTGCGCCTCCCCCCCCCAAAAGAAAACACACTTCATTCAGCTCGATCACCAGCAGTCAGCCCTCTCGAATTCAGTCCAGGGGTACTTTGTCTCCGATGCCTAGGGCTAGTGGGATAATGTGCCATCAAGCGTGCTAGCCCCACCGATGGAGCATCACGCTCTTCCGTCGACAGACCAATCCCGGGAGTAGTATACCCACTAGCATTGGGACTAACCCTGCCGGAGAGAATATGGCTGCTAGAGGACCCAGGGCGCCTCAAAGAAAAGTACCCACCCCCGCCAAAGCTCCCGCCACTACTATTGCTCCCGAAGCTGTGACCCAGCCCATCCCCAGAGGTGGAGAGATATGAGCTCGTGAATGGTGCATCGCTGGCAGGGAAGGCGCGCGGGAGAGCCCCCGACTGAGAATACGAGTTTGAATCCAGCCGCAGGTATGGCTGGGGCGTCATAAACGGAGCATTGAGTCGCGCTGTTGGTGACATCATCGACTGGCTGTACTCCCTCGAATTAACAGCGGCGGTATCAGGCCTGTTTGACAGCGCTAGGGAGAGTCCCATGCCCGTGCGACGGTCAGAGGTCGTTAGCGATGAAGTAGTGAGCGAACGGCGGTGGTGTCTTGACCCGTCTTGTTGCTGATCGGGGTAGATGCCCTGCGAGGCCCTTGCTCCCGTCGGCGATTGGAGATTGCTTCGGCCATTACGCCAGTCGGTGCTTTCGGGGCTGTTTAGGGTGCTTTCGGCGTGGACACTTGTACATAACATGACGAGTTGCGAGGGGAGCTCGAGACGGTTATTTAGAGATAGCCAGGCTCGTTCGTCTGCATCAATGTCTGCGTCTAGATTGATGTCACCGGTGCTATGTATCGAAGAGGACGAGGCCGAGCTTGTCGCTTTCCCGTGCAGAGTATGCGAGCTGCGTGTTTTGGATGCAGGGTATGAGCGCCATCCACCGACGCCTTCGAAGTCTCGCCTTTCATCGCCGCTTACAGGCAGGCCGCAGATGGGCGTTGGGGTAGACAAGTTGTGGGCCTCGATCATGCTCCGTGCATAAGAGTTCCTTTTGCGGTTTTCTGGGTCATCTAAACTGCTACCAATGGACCAAGAAGTAAGAGGGTCATTTATCTTTCGTGGATGTGTCGTCATTTGGCTGGAGTTCCTTCTTGATCTACTACTAGCTGGAGTAGTAGGTTCTGATGCCGCAAATGTCAATAATGATGAGGTAGGTGAGGTTGGCACTGAAAAGAAATGCATGAACAATTCGTAGAATAGCTCAATACAGACTACTGATAGTCTGAGTATCAATGCAAAGAGCGCAGCGGATATTGTAACCCATGCTGAGAAAATGAGTGGGATAGAGATGATGGCCAGGACAGGCAGCGCAAGCAATGTTGATAGAGAGGGCCACATCGAGGAGTCAATCTATATCTCCAGGAAGTGGGGAAAAGACCAAAAGCCCATGATTATACGACATTCGGTATTTAAGACCACAGTCATAGCATAAACAACAAATTGCGGAGAAAGCATGTGATGGATGCCCCAGGCAGCACAAACGCCAATTACATCATTTCGCTAACTTCAACCTTGTTGTATATCAGAAACTTAGAATCTAGCTTTGGAGGCCTTGTTCTGGTTTCCATTGAATAGCCCGAGACATGCCAGAGGATGAGCCGTTCCCTTGGGACATTGGCGTTTACGATGCCCACTGTCACCCCACCGACACATTGGCCTCAGTGGCCGACATCCCGCAAATGAAAGCGACAACACTGACAATCATGGCCACGCGCGGGGAAGATCAAGATCTCGTACAACAAACAGCCGTGTCACTGTCAGCCAAGACAAGCCAATCAATGGCAGACCGCGTAGTTCCCTGTTTCGGATGGCATCCGTGGTTCTCGCACCAGATTTTAGACGACACTACACAACCAACAGCTGCACAAAACCCAGCCGAGCACAAGTCCACGCACTATGCCGCCGTGCTAGCACCATCCCCAGCCGATGACCAACCATTTGTTGATTTACTTCCTGTTCCTAAGCCCCTCTCAGAACTAATATCTGAAACTCGGAACCGCCTCCAACAGTTCCCCAATGCGCTAGTCGGCGAAGTCGGCCTGGACAGGTCATTCCGACTTCCGAGCCCATGGACTCCAACCGACATCGATAACAGAGATGACCAGCTTACCCCCGGCTCACGAGAAGGCCGGCGTCTCTCAAACTACCGCGTCAAGCCGGAACACCAGCGCACTGTACTGAAAGCGCAGCTACAGCTAGCGGGAGAAATGAACCGTGCCGTCTCGCTGCACAGCGTGCAAGCCCATGGCGGAGTCTTTGAAGTGCTTAAGGAGCTCTGGGCAGGACATGAACGGGTTATGCTGTCGCGACGGAAGAGGGACAAGCAGCGGGATGCAGAAGGCGCCGTGTCTGACGACGATGATGATGACAATGACGGAGATAAGACGTTGGAAGGATGTGTGTCGACTAAAGCATCTATTCCCAAAGGGAAATCGTATCGGCCGTTTCCGCCTCGCATCTGCATGCACTCGTACACCGGTTCGGTTGAGCCCATTCGCCAGTTCCTGCATCAGTCGAATCCGTCGGATGTTTATTTCTCTTTCTCGAAACTTATCAATTTCTCCGGTGCTGCTGAGAAGAAGGTTGGTGATGTTATCAAGGCTTTGCCTGAGGATCGCATTCTTATCGAAAGTGATCTCCATGTTGCAGGCGCGCAGATGGATGAGTTGCTTGAGGATGTGGCCCGACAGGTTTGTCAGCTACGTGGATGGGAGTTGCGGCATGGTGTACAGGTGCTTGCAGATAACTGGCGGCGGTTTGTGTTTGGCTAGGTCTTGCGTTTCATTTTCCTATTCCTGCATGGGTTGAGCATGGGTTGAATTTCTGACTTGTTGCACTTTCCCCTCGCGGTTTTTCTAAGCGGTGCAATTAGCGAACACGCATATATGGCGCGACTGGATCGCTCTTGTACGTATATCCATGGATATTGCCTAGGTAATTCATTGAGACATAAAAAGGCCCCAACTGATTTGACCCAACATCACTATTTGCAGTTATATGACGTGGTATATCTCTATCATTGTATGTGATTGTTTGTGACATGGTATCGTAGGCTGGGCCTGTACATGTCTGTGGCCTGACATGGTCTCTAAGATGTATCGTGTAGCTGCGTGCCCTGGCATGGCTCGTCTCGTCGTCAAATTAGAAAAGGTATCCGAAGAGTAGGCGATGGAGAAGATGACAGCTCTATATATATAGTCATCAACCAGAGGTAGCGGGAAAAAGCTAATTATGCAGCCATCCTCCATCGTGAATAAGATCTGCCATCGGGGCATCCTGCCAGTAGATCTGCCGCCATTCATCTTCAAGCTCGGGCAAACCTTCAACGCCCACAGGGGGAGGTAGGTCTACATCACCGAAGGCGAACAGCTGTCGCCAGTCCGGATAGTCGCGAGCTGGCTCGATGGAATCCACTTGCATGCTGGCTGAAAAAGGATCGTTCCTTTCCAGCGGGCCAACATTAAGCCGGAGAGGGGCAATCCAATTATTAAATTGAGGGTTGGGTTGTGGTGAGAGAGTCGTTTGTTGGAGAGGGGTAGATTCGGGGGTGGGCACCCCGAAAGAGAGTGGCCCGGGGGTTTGCATGGTAATTGATGGAACAGGAGAGGTAATGGGCATCTTGTGCGCATTATGAGTGTCGTTGAACGGCTTGGGTCGTTCTGTGGTTGCCATCCGAAGATCCTCTTGCAGACGTTTGGAGTCCTCGAAGAGTCGCAGGATTGTACCAGCATGAACCCAGTATTGAGCTAATTCGCGCAGCGAGTAAGAGGCAGAATCGAAGCGGCGTAAGGCATTGATGGCAAGAACTGGATTGGAGAAGCGGAGCTCAACCCGGACTTGAATCATGGCCGTGAAGAGGGTATGGACGCCAGTGTACCAAAGGAACTTCAAGCGCTCGTGCATCCTGAGCTCTTCAAATATTGAGGCTATAACCCCTGCGGCTGCACTGCAAATTTCTGCATCGTGAGGGCCATAGTCATCAGAATAGGCCGAGGCTCTGGGATGAGGCCGATGCAACAGAATGAGGAAGTTGTTGTAGGTCAAATGGAGCATAGCGGACCAAGGATCCATATCAGATGCGCGAAGCCGAAGATTATCAGGAAGTTTCAGAGACCAGGTTGCCAATGACCCATCAGCTTCTTGAAGAACGGCCTTTCGCCGTTCTTCACTTGCCCGAAGTCCAAATCGATCGCGAATGAGATACGAGATCATCGTACACAGTTCGGTAAAATGGATCACGTAGTCTGCTTGTACAAGAGGACCGCAATTCTCAAAATCAGCGAGCGTCAAAGGAGACACATCAGAATCGTCTAGATTGCTAAATTGAAAGTTGATTAGTATTCGCTGCAATTTGGCCGTTTGGAACGACTTACATCGCCTGAGGTCGGCCATATGACAGGGAAATCAACACATCAAATTGGACCAGAATGAACCAAACCCTCCGCCACATTCGCCGATCGCGAGTCACAAATCTACTGGAAACGGGATTACGGTGCATTCCAAGCCCCGTGGCGATACGGGCAGCGGCCCCAACCCAAAAGTGAGCATCTGCAGCAACATCATCATCTGCGCTGTCCGAATGCCACGTCAAAAGAAGGGCCGCTTGAACAAGAATGTCGCGATTTCGTTCGATGCGATTGTCAAACAGATACTTGGTCCGACGGAAGAAAATTTCTTTGAGAGCGTCTCGCTCTACTTTAGCACGAGAAACATGCGCCCCAACTAGCAAAATCGCTTGAAGAAGTAGGACTGGCGGAGGATCTGCGGGATCCCGGTTCCGGTATTGCGTCATGAATAAATCTTCGTCAATGATAGGGTACCCCGGATTGACATATGTGAAATAAGCCTGGACCAATTCATCTGCGAGAGCCGGTTCTGGAAGTGTTAGAGCATCCATAAGAAGCTGATCATGACCGGTCTTCATTTGACGCCGTGGGATCTCGTTGCTCGCAAAATGGTATACATCGTCATCTTGTTCTCGTTGTTGTCGAAACAAGAATGACATGTTCGAATGTTCGTGTCCGACATAGAAGGCGCGCACGCCTCTTTGTATCTCTCTCCTGCCGGATTCCTCCTCGTCTATCAATTTAACGAGATGTTGCTCCATCTCCGTGTGTGCCTCGCGGGCATGCGCCATATCGGGGCGGCCAAATGCCTCCGATCCCGTGCCTTGCTGAAATCCATGTTGCGGAAGGCCCCCAGATATTGGTGTGGCATGGCCGCTCTGAAATGCAGTTGGAAAACTTGGTGGTAGTGGTGTCCCCGCTGCAAGGGTCGGGTTTGAAGTAGGATCGGAGGTGGGTAGAGGCCGAGATCGGATCGGAACAGGATCTAGGATTGAGCGTACAGCAAGACGCTTTTTCTTTTCGTGTATGCGACAGTCAGCCTTTCCAGAGGCGCGACAGTTGGTACAGGGTGTTCCGACGGTACGGGCATCGCAGCGAACTTTGCGCCGGTGACAGTGGACACAAGCTGCGGAGCCTAAGAGTTTTTTGAGTCACCGGTCAGCAAGTCTGATCGCGCAAAAATAACCGATCGCCGAGAACAAAGAACAAAGCCCGCATATCAAGATACATAACGATTAAGCAGATAAGGGGCATTGCTTACCTTGTTTGCGCTTGCTCACCCCATCTACCGGGAGCGGCGAGGGGGCGTTATCGTTGACGGAGGACATGACAGGAGTACCATTGGCATCATTCTTCCAAATCGGCCACGATTCTGCATTATTCGAGTCACCAACACCAGTCACTTCAAGGCATCATGGGCGAACTTCGAAATGGTTGCCGAGGATAATGCGACAAACAACTAAATCAAGAAACAAAAAAGTCGGGAAGTTGAGGAAACTGCGGGATCGGGGTCTCCGGTGGAGACTCACGTGGGTGCGGAGAAGGCGATTATGTAAAAAATGGGCCAAATCTTGGAAATCGTATCACAAGGTCATATTCCTCCTTGGGAGTTGCATTATTGCATTTGATATATCGTGTTCTCCGTTAATGCAAGGATGTCTTCATCTTTTCTTAGGATATCGCTTTGGTGGCCTGGATACTACTGTTATTCCTTCGGCCCACGATGTACATATTTGCGATACATTACGGTGAGCCACAGCGTCGTAGGCAAGCCCGTGCTCCATGTGCTCTTCTTGACCAGATGACCAAGAGACACTCCACATCTATCGCAGCAATCCAACATTAACCAAAAGAATTATTCAAGGATTCAGCAATACCCACTTGGAACAACATCTCTCCCGTCCTAACGGAGCAAACCTGGACGGTAGCTGTTATTCTGGTGGAGGTCTTCGTCTATCTCTGGCTATCTCTGATACGCAGAGCCTCAATGAATGTCTAAGCCACATACCCGATCAGTCTATAAACCAGGCACATCAAGATGAACAATAAACCAGATGAACATATTCCCTAAACAGAACACCTATCTTAACCTCTGGCTTCAATTCAAGAATGGGAAAGGAAACAAACGAGTTCAAGCGATCGAGCAAAAATATCTGTAGATCTCTCACACCGACCCCCTTTTATCCAAGTATTTTCCAACGGTTTTAGATCTAGCCAATGAATGCTACTAGGGATCGGACAGCAATGCATTCATTATACGGAGTACGGAATACAACATACGGCCTAGCAAAACAGATAGGAAAGAAAGAAGAATATACATACGGAGTGGGTCCTATCACCTACTATTGGTGCGCCACAACACTAGATGTGCCCTAACTCGAACCCCTGAAGATCTACGAGGCTCGTACAACATACGGAGTATATCGGCTTCACTTCCTTCCGGTTGCTGATCTCTACCATTATTGATCTCTGGGCTGACATCTTCCTCGGGAACTTAAACAAGAGGCCTTCATATACAATTGTACTATGTACTGACTGGATCAATAGGGCAGCATTTTACGCACGGACTTTATGCCAGCTCAGCTCTTGGCTGCCGGCACTTGATTTAGGATTTGAGATATTTGCCCAATACTAATTCCCAGAAAAGGAATTAGATTCATAAGCGGTAGTATCATACTCCGTACACCGTATCCCCTGTTCGCTCTAATTGTGAAGGGGTATTTATCTATAAGGCTCTTTTGAAGACTGGCATGTATGTCATAAAAGCTAATCAGGTCCAAAACTCAAAGCAGCGTCTTGAGTGTATGTTGTACCGAGGCATTTCGACCTACTTGAGTTGCGCCCAAGCTATTCCCAAAAATGGCGAGGCTGGCAGCCCCATCGGGTTGCGAAAGCTTCTCGTTCTTGGCCATTAATTACCTCTGGACAACACCCCTGTGATCTGCGTACACAAATATGAGAATGGATACATCAAATGTTGTATAACTACGGAGTACTACTACGGATTATGCACTCCGTATGAGTACATAACTAGTTACAGAGCTTAGCGAATTCCTGGCTTAGCTGAACAGATGATATTACTGATGATCGTGATGGATATAACGCGTAAATACTGTTGGACTGAGTGTTCTATCTTCACTTCATATGAGAAATGGCACTTCTCTGTGTGTATGAATGGGCTGACATTTGGTGCACTATCACTTTGGGTCCTCGTCCATTTTCCAGCTTGAGTGCTATTTGATCTCAAGCTGCCGGATCGCTTACGGGCGATATTTTCTCAGAACCTATTCACTTTGATACTTCCAGACAATGCTTCCAAAATTATGTATATAGCATGAGCACACCAAAGAGACACTAGTATTGAACAATACCATTAAGTCTAGCTTGTCCTTCCAGACCTGCCTTCATAATCATACCGAAGATCTCCAGATCTTTCCTAGCATCCTTCGAAGTGGTTTTAGCGGGCTTACCATCAACAGCAAATGCATAAAGCTCCTTCATTTCCAATGTATAAGCATCTTCGTACGTCTTCCGAACCACAGACTCACGAAATGAGCCATCTTCCAGCTTCTCGCGAATGTGCATAGTGGTAGGCAACCCCTTGACGTAAGGCGAATCAAAGCAGACCTTGACAGTCTTATGTCCACCAAAGACCTCAATCGACGCATCGAAACGGGGGACATCATCAATTCCGGACTCATAAGACACAGCAAAAGAGGGATATTGGAAGAGGGCACTGGAGAGGGAAAAGAATTAGCATGTTTCCCGGAGCTGTAGATATAAAATTTGCAACTTACCTCCAGAATGGGGGTCCCTTCGCAGAGCATAGAGAAGCACCAAGCACAGCCGTCGGCATACCAAGAGCCTCTCTCATTGCACTAAGATCATGCGAGCCAAGACTTCCCAAGTGCCTCCACTGAGCAGCAGTATCAGGCGTAACTGGAATCCCCAATTCCGCCGTCAAAGCCTGTTCAAGGAACTCGTCCGTCCTCGTCGACAATTCCTTCACGTCCTCTGATCTGTAATCAGAGAAAACCTTAGGAAACGTACCAGACTGACCAACGAAGTCCGAGTTCGGGCCGACAATATCTCGCACCCGTGCATAGCACACTTGATCAAAGCTTCCTATCTCCTTGACGGCATCGATGAAGCCACTCGCATACCGCCGCATATATCCCACCATGACCTTTCCGGAAGTTTGCTTCTCAAGCTCGATGAGCTGGTCCGCGTCTTGCAGAGAGAGGGCCACGGGCTTCTCGACGAAGACGACTTTGTCATGTTTCAGGCCTAGTACGGCGTGGGGAACGTGGAAGGCGTCGCTGTTGGCAATCATCACAATGTCCACGTCCGGGGAGGCGCAGAGCTCCTCTGCCTTGCGAGTCGTCTTGGGGATACATCCAATGACCTTCTTGGCACAGTGCTCGAGCGCATTGTCGGAGACATCACATAGGTAGGTGACTTGGAAGTAATCTGAGAGGAACCCGAGAGTTGGAATGTGGGCAACTTGGGTGATTTCGCCACATCTAGTTGGAATATCAGTATCAATATGGTACAGCACTTTGGCAATAGGCTTCTTACCCAATTATTCCTACGCGGAGGATCCTTTTGCCGGTGTTCATCTTGAATGTGTGAGGTGATTCCCAGCTTCCCCAATGACGTAATGGTTAGGGAACCTTGGAGGTTCCAAGGTTGAAAGCTGATTCGAACAAAAGTTCAGAAATTTTTGTGAACAACCAATATATCAGGTTGGATGTCTCGAATGTTTCGAATGTTTCGAGTGAATATGCTGGGTAAGTTGAATTGAAGAAGCGCTGATCTGATGCCGCGAGGTGGAACAGCCCCGCCGAAATTTGCTCTCAGACGCTTTTTATTAGCACATTGGTTGAATACGAATAACATCAACACTAAGTTCTTGACAACAAGACATGTAGTAGACAAGCAATCTTGAATTTACTCAGTTAGAATGTACAATTGTAGACTTGTCTTGGTCCCATACTAGACGCCCTGGCAGATCAAACCCACTAACTTCAATACTTACTTGTTAGGAGTCAACTTTTGGAGACAAAGCACAAGTAAACATATCAATTTCTTGAAAAAGGATTATCTTGAAGCAGACAAAAGGTGAGCATCAATCAAATCTCAAAAAAACATGACCTATCAGCATAATGACACTGGTCATCACAGATCTAGAAGCTAGGTGTTATGATATACAGCCTCGGTCATTTGTTGTCAAGTCAGGATCAAGGCCAACATCCATAAGTATCTTAAGCCTACATCGATGTACATGCATATCTAGCTGTGTATGAAATTTAAATCCTTGAAATATTGACTAGATGGTGTTAGTTAACCATCAGTTATGGCTTTCTTCAAGTCGTCCTGGGCTGATACCTGCAAAACCCAAGACTCTGTCATCTGCCATCACTGAGCTTTGAGGAACCCAGCCGAAACACTCAAGATTGGGAACTTATGGGTATATCTCTTTTACTATGATAAGGAGCTAATCTTGCAATTTTGACTTCGAAGCACACACCGACGATGCATTATGTCTTTTGCCGTTCCCAGTAACGCCGGTAACCTATTGCTCTCACACGCAGATAGCTACACTCAGGAACATGTAACTTGAAAGTATACAAAGAAAAGGAATGCCACTAAGGCTGCACAACCTGAATGTTGTTTTTCTTCTGCAAAGGGGGAGACCAAAGTTAGTATTCCGTATCAAGTTTCCAGAATATGGTTTCAGGCTTAGAAATAGCCATGAAACAGGGGATGCGATTACCTTCCAGGTATCCAGCTCATCCTGCTTTGATTTGTACTGCTTGAGCATGTCCTCAATCACTTGTCTCAACCCGTCCGAGTTGGTCTTGAGTGTAGGAAGCACATCTTTGACAGTGCGCTCAACTAAAACGCCATTCACCAGGCGAAAACATTTGCGGTCTGCGGCAAGAGGGTCGAGGGTTTCAATCACAAGTCTAAAAAAAAAATAGATGTTAGCATTGTACATATCCGTTGAGACATCGCTGGTTGTGCTCGCTCGTGGTGAACTCCCCGATTCATATCAGCGAGACCATGCTGGAATAGCGCATAACCCTGGAAGTAACTCACTTGTGTTCTTCTGCTTCCTGCTCAATATCACCGATCTTTTGCGCTAATTGCTGAAGGGTATTTTTGAAGTTGGTGTATTGGTGCTGAAGCTCTAGATTGAGGGGGTTCGCATCAGCTTTCGTGAACTCTTGAGGTCTGCAGGGGCAATAGAAAAACCATACCTTGCTGCTTCTTAGGGTCAATCTGTTTCTGGCTAGACATGATGGCTGTTTGATATGGCGTGGTCGGCACAAGGAAGCTTGAGAAATTGGGATGACGATGCGGGGCGGTTACTTTTTAGTGTTGGTGGAAGCCACTACTATGGAACTTTATGCACCTCACACCCTACATAGGCACTTTAGCTCAGAATCTCATATATGTATGCTCAAATACCCAAGACAACTCCAATATCATTAACAGAATTCTTGGTTTAACTCTATACTACCAATTATATGCTCTTCATGAACTAAGTTATATACCACGTGACTAATATTGCAGTGCAGTGACAAGTCGATCAGCTCGACTCCACCGTCCTCTAAAAAAGGTTGCCTCGGGTCAGCAAAGCTGCAAATAAGCTGTCTCCTCGAGAATCAGAAGCTAAACACTGCTAATGACATTGCCATTTCAGAAGATTGCCTAGGTGACTACCAGGGCGGTGACTCTTCTCTGGCAATAAAGGGCGGTAAGAAGATAGGAAAGAGCTTCGACTCCGCGGATCACTTTCTCAAGTCAACCTCACGCAGACCACACCGAGTCGTACATTGCGAATAACTCAAGTCTGAAACCTGGCTCACCAGCCCGGCTGAACGACATGTCTCGCAACGAGATGGGCCCTCCGGCCAAAAGGCACAAGGGCTTTGGACACCTCCCTGCAGGCCTGCGCGACGCAAAACGGAAGGACATTGACAATTGGGAAACCAATCGAATGCTTACTTCTGGTGTAGCGCAACGACGAGACCATGAGGGCGACTTCATGCCCGAAGATGAAGAAGCGACTCGCGTGCATTTACTCGTCCACGATCTCAGGCCGCCTTTTCTCGACGGTCGTACGATCTTCACGAAGCAACTGGAGCCGATCTCCGCTGTTCGAGATCCGCAAAGTGACATGGCGGTATTCAGTCGGAAAGGAAGCAGGGTCGTTAATGAGCGCCGGCAGCAGCGAGAACGACAAAAGCAAGCACAGGAGGCGACAAATATGGCCGGCACAGCTCTGGGGAACTTCATGGGCATCAAAGAGGACGAAGGAGACAGCGCTGTCGCTGTGCCCATCGAGGATACCTACAAAGGAGGAGGAAACAAATTTGCCAGACATATGAAGAAAGACGGTGGCTCTAGCGCTTTCAGCAATAGCAAGACCATGCGCGAACAGAGAGAGTATCTGCCCGCCTTTGCCGTGCGAGAGGATCTTATGAGAGTCATTCGGGATAACCAAGTTGTGGTGGTCGTTGGAGAGACCGGATCTGGGAAAACCACCCAGCTAACTCAATTTCTACACGAGGATGGCTATTCTAAGTTCGGTATGATCGGATGCACGCAGCCTCGCCGTGTAGCTGCTATGAGTGTCGCTAAGCGAGTCAGCGAGGAGATGGACGTCGAGCTCGGTGGACTCGTCGGATACGCTATCCGTTTCGAGGATTGTACGAGTGACGACACGTTGATCAAATGTGAGTTTCTTCTTTCCGCTTTGGTGTGATCATATAGCTAATTTATGTACTAGACATGACGGATGGTGTATTGCTGCGAGAGTCTCTCACCCAAAAGGATCTCGACAAATACTCATGTATCATTATGGACGAGGCACACGAAAGAGCCTTGAACACTGACGTCTTGATGGGTCTCCTTAAAAAAGTCCTGACCCGCCGCAGGGATCTGAAATTGATCGTGACCTCAGCAACAATGAACTCTGAACGATTTTCGCGCTTCTTTGGCGGTGCCGCAGAATTCGTCATTCCCGGCAGAACCTTCCCTGTTGATCTTCACTTCTCGCGCACACCCTGTGAAGATTATGTCGATAGTGCGGTCAAGCAGGTCTTGGCCATTCATGTGTCTCAGGGCGCTGGTGATATTCTTGTCTTCATGACTGGCCAAGAAGATATCGAGGCAACCTGCGAGCTGGTTGAAGAAAGGCTGAAGCAGCTGAATGATCCGCCGAAACTCAGCGTTCTACCCATCTACAGTCAAATGCCGGCCGAGCAACAGGCAAAGATCTTTGAGAAGGCCGCCCCGGGCGTGCGCAAAGTAATTGTGGCTACAAATATTGCTGAGACAAGTCTAACGGTCGACGGTATCATGTTCGTTGTGGATGCAGGTTACTCAAAGCTGAAAGTGTACAACCCGCGCATGGGTATGGACTCTCTCCAGGTCACCCCGATTTCCCAAGCCAATGCAAACCAGCGATCTGGACGTGCTGGGCGGACTGGACCGGGCAAGGCCTATCGTCTATATACGGAAACAGCCTACAAGAACGAGCTTTACATTCAAACCATCCCTGAGATTCAGCGAACCAGTCTTGCCAATACCATACTGTTACTGAAATCCCTTGGTGTGAAGGACCTTTTGGACTTCGACTTCATGGATCCTCCCCCACAAGAGACAATCTCTACCTCTCTTTTCGAGCTCTGGTCGCTGGGTGCTCTGGACAACCTGGGTGATCTTACATCTCTAGGACGTCGCATGACACCATTCCCCATGGATCCCCCTCTTGCCAAGCTCATAATCATGGCCTCCGATGTATACGAGTGCAGCGAAGAAATGTTAACCATCGTCGCAATGCTTTCGGTTGCAAATGTCTTTTATCGTCCCAAAGAACGACAGGAGGAAGCCGATTCAGCCCACGAGAAATTCTTCGTTCCAGAATCCGATCACTTGACCCTTCTCCACGTTTATACTCAATGGAAAACCAACGGTCACTCAGATGCCTGGTGCATCAAGCACTTTTTGCACTCCAAAACGCTCCGCCGCGCCAAGGAAGTCCGAGACCAACTTCACGACATAATGATCCAACAAAAAATGCCCCTCGTCAGCTGCGGTACAGACTGGGACTTGATCCGCAAGTGCATCTGTTCGGGCTTCTTCCATCAAGCCGCAAAACTAAAGGGCATTGGCGAGTTCATTAACCTCCGCACCAGCGTGACTATGGCGCTCCATCCCACCAGTGCCCTTTACGGTATCGGCCAAGTGCCCGAGTACGTCGTCTACCACGAGTTAATCCTGACGTCCAAGGAATACATGTCCACAGTGACAGCCGTTGACCCTCATGTAAGTTACCACTCCCCCATTCATGCCTGTTTGTCATCTAGTACTCAACTAACTCGTTTCTCTCAGTGGCTCGCCGAACTCGGTGGCGTATTCTACTCCGTTAAAGAAAAAGGCTACTCGCAGCGCGACCGCCGCGTGACAGAAATCGAGTTCAACAAGCGCATGGAAATCGAAGAGCAGATGGCAGCTGACCGTGAACGTGCTGCTGCCGAGAAATTGCGCGAGCAGGAACGCAACGACCCAGCCCGCCGCAGAACGGAAATCGAGGTTGGCGGAAAGTCCGTCGTGCGTAAAGCTATCATCAAGCCAGGACGCAGGGTCGGCGGTTTGACTGCTTCATCTTCATCTTCCTCGCGACCTGGAGCCAATATCGATGGCGCTCATGATGGAGGTGGAAATCGTCCCGGAAGCAGTGTGGTCAAGAGGCCTACGGTGCCTCGGAGACCAGGACGTGCATTCTAGTCTTGGTCTTGGAGTGAAAGTCACAATTTCTGTCCCCTAATACCCCAATAGATGTGCTGTGCTTGAAGATCCGTACGCCTCACGTCCACTCTCTTCTTTCCTCTGCCTGAAATCCTTTAGGATTTTCCAAATATATTGACCTACGGTCTTACGTGTTGATCTTGAATCACATTTACGAATATCTTACGACGTGGAACGATGCGACTAAGCTAGTTTGGATTGTGCTATTATGACAATCCAGCCAGCTAAGTTGCTGCTAGTCAGTTCTAGCAATAAAAGAATAGAGACAGTTCTCTGATTTTTTTGAGTGTATACTCATTTCCCTATGTAATCCTAAGTTATCACGTAGTATCTAATAGAGAAGCTCTTAGAGCTTGTATTCAGCTTGCTTTTGGAGCTTGCTTCTGCGAAATATACTTCTAGGCAGGATCTTTGTCGTCATCACTTGTGATATACTTACTTTCTCTAATACTCCCTTTATCGTTTGCATTATAATATAACAATTAGTCTAATATTCGTTTCTTCTTTTACATCCATCTACATGGAATTTGTTCAATCGATACCCGATATTGAGTTATCATTCAGCTCCCTTCCGAGTACGCTCTGCTCTTTACACCCAGCTTTCTCCGAGGTAGGGCCATATGAATAGCATACGCTTATCCAACAAGTCAGCCTTGTGTAAGCAGATAGGTCAAATATGAATAAAATTTTCCACTTCGATCAAAGACCAGCGTGAAGAACCAGAACAAGGATCGGCTAAAAAAGGTGCAACATGGAAGGATATCTAAGAGACGACATTCCCCATCCCATCGGGGGATCAAAACGAATTAAACCCAGACAGGAAACAGAATGAGCCAGCATGGTACATATTGAACAGAGGCTTTTAGCACCGGGCACAACTCAGTTGATAAAGTTGACACAGAAAAAGTGTAGGATCAAGCTTCCGAAGATGTAATCGGCGAAGGCCCTGGAATTAAAGATCAGCATATGCATCCATCGTGGCCTTGGAAAAACAATCGTGAAGCTGGATCACCACAAAAAACACAAAAGACAAAAAGGAACTCACCTTTCATGTGAAATACCCGTCCCCTGTTCTTCACTCTCATCTACAAAGCGCGCATTCTTCCCCTTAGAGCTCGGCTTTGATCCAGAACCAGTACCGCTGTCACTAGTTTGCATGCGCAGACTTGCCGTAAGGACGAATTGACCAACAGCAGCACTAAAGCCACTGAGGAAGGCATTGAAGGGCTATATGGGAGGGAACAGTTGTTAGTTATTGGTATATAAATTTCCAATTGCAAATCACATGCCGTATAGACAAGACAAGGGAAAAGAGGGTGAAGAAAAGCAATAGAAACGGAATGGTATTTGCACTTACATAGTTCCCAGCTACAACACAGTACACAAACTGCAATCCACCAACAAGAACCAGGAATGCCATGAAGGCATCTAGGAGGAGTGTCCGCTGCGGCGTTGTAGATGCATACTGCTGCCAGACATGG